CCCCCCCCCCCCCTTTTTTTTTTTCTTCATAAATAAATGATTTTATTCCTTTTTAAATTTGGATGCCCCACTTATAAATTTGTGCTGCCATCTGTTGATAACTTTAGAAAGGAGGGTTTTGTTTCCATGAATATAGTGAACTATTTTTGTGTTGTCCCAGTTTTCGTGTCTCATAAAGTATTTACTTAACACAGAAATTTTGAATTCAGTTATTTATGTGCACATGGGGTCATTTCTTTACAGTGGATGGACTTTTTAAAATCTCACCCACCGTAACACTAAAAGAAGAAAAAAATAAAAGATCTAATAGTGCCCGACTGGGTGAAAATCAGCAATATCGCTGTTAAGCTACATTTTGAACAAAAAGTTAATTTATTATAATGATGCTATTTTTTTATAACTGCTAGGAAATTCTTACCCATGATCCGTCTACCACTGAGGTCGACCAGTGCCGGGAACAAATTCGCATTTACCAGACACCGCTGGGATACGAACCAACCTGGGTCACCTCATTGAGAAGACAGTGATTTATCCATCGCGTACTTCAAGAATTTTAGATTTGCCACACTTGATCTACAATTTTTCAAAAATCTTGTCAAATATTGTTTTATTTTATAACCGTCGTTGAACAGCCGACCCAATTTTTTGTGTTTACGACTACTAATGTTCAAATCCGTAGCCCTGTCATTTTGAACCCAGTCCAGAAGACAAGGGAATTCCTGGATCAAGCATTGGGAGAAATCGGCCTTTGTAATTTGACTTTTAGATGGAACTAACCCACATTTGCGTTTCATGGGGAGGAAAACCATGAAACCTCCCACGGTTAGTCTGACGGCAAGGGGATTCTAACCCATGCCCCGTCAACCACTGAGGATATTTTACTTTTACATCGGCACTGTGGTCGGTGCGAGCCGGGTGCGGAATTTGTATCCACCAGCCGTCGCTGGGGTTCGAACCCGATTCACCTCATTGGAAAGTGAACGCTCTATCTCCTGAGCCACCACGACTGTCAAACATTACGTAAAAAAACACACATATTACAAAGTGATTATTTGAAATGATTTAAGCTATCGAACTTGTTTTCATGTTTTCCATTTAGTCTTTTTCACTAGTGATTCGACAGAATACGTTAGTGTTGCTGTTCCTTATTAAATATTAATGAACTATTATATTCATAAAAAACTATTATATTCATAAAATATTAAATTTTATAATTTAAATATTAATTTGCGACTACTAAGGAGCGAATTTTTTTTATTTTTAATAATTATTTTAAAATCATATATTGAATGCTGTCTGTAGGGAACACCCTGATCTTTATTTTAAATATCATTCTAAGAATCCTAATGTTTAACCTAAAATTTTATTCTAGGGTTGTTATACGGTTATTATTGATTACCTGAAGGGAAAAGCAGCTGCAGTTGGAGGTGTGGCCGTAGCTGTCTTAATTCTTCAAGTAAGAAATCATTGCATAGATTAGTGTCAATTTGTTTATTTGTTCTGCATGCTTGTTGTGAAACAATGACAAACCAAACATTATATATGTGTAACATAAAAAGCCTCAATTAATATTTTTATGTTTAATCCTTTTCTTTTATTTTATTATTCAAAACGTAATGCTTTCTCACACTTTTAAATTCACATCCTGTCCTTAAATCTATTTTTGACTTAACTATGCATTCATTAAAAGCAGGATATTTTTCCCTTTGCACTCTGTGGGAATCGTTCGACCTATTTGATAAACCAATTACTAAGATTTCCTTCTTTTCCTAAATTGAAACATTTTACGGATTTTAATTTGCAAGATTTTCCCTAACATATAATGAAGAAACACAACTTTTAATCTACACTTTCATGACTGCTCTGTCTAATTATTAATAAATAAATTTTGTACCCTCCTTCCCTGCCTAAGACCTGTTTTAATCCTTCCTCTCGGCAACGANTATATATATAACTATTTTTCTTTAAGGAATTTGATTGGAATAGAATCACTAGAATATGGTAATTCAAATTCCTTAAATTTAAATTTCTCTATTTTTGAGACTTGTTATTTTTAATCTTTTCAAGTAAATTATTCGTTCTCTATAATGATGATTTTTCCTCTCCCTTGATGATTTCATTGTCTTCAATAAAACAGAAAAATAAGAACAGACAGGAAATAAGTTTAAGGAATTACTGTGAGAAGGCAACGATGTTTTGAACATAAGTTGTTAATTTAGGATACAGTTTTGAATAACATAAAAGACGTTATACCCATTCAATCCGGTAAAACAGTTTCTTTGTCCCTTCATGTTTTTCAAATTTTTTCTTATGGTTTGTCATTGTTTTCACAGTAAATTTAATTCGTGTAAATCTTTTTTCTCATTTATTTATGAGCTTTTAAACCCATTAAGTTTTGTGTCATGAATAAAAATTGTTTTCTGATCATAATACTAATCAGTATTCAAAACATGTATTAAAAAATAAACCTCTCTGATTTTATTTCTTATTAAATGTTCCTGATATAAAAACAATTTCTCACATAAAAATATCCAACATTGCCACCACTCTTTACTGTCACAAGAAATATGAAAGAAATTTCGCAATATCATTTATCAATTATATAAATATTATACTACGCAAAAGCTGATTTTTTTTTTCAAATTAAAAATGTCACTTACACAGAGTTTCAATTAACTTAATACTATCAAATAGCCGCCCATGTTGGCCACTTGCTTTGCTTTGATGAACGTTCATCCCTGCTGCCTCTCTGAACAATTTAAGGGGATTTAATCTTAGACTATGTCAACCTTCATCTATCAAAAGGGAATCTAGTTATCATGTCTTATATACCAGTGAATTGGCATTCAATATTTATTTATGGTGGTAGTTACGCCACAAATTAATGTGTTCTCTGTTGACTGAGCATGTTTTTTTTCTTCCAACATGCAATGAAAGCAACTTTTTGAAACTGTTCGTGAACACGTTTTTTTGGTGAAAAGCGCCATCATTTTTTTCATGTGAGCCATTCGATGTTTCTGCTATAATCTTGTGGAAATTCTGACAACTTGGTAAGTCTCATCTCATTAGAAACAATGTTATGGTGAACATTTTGATGTGAAATACGCCACTTTTGAAAACAGTATGAAAAAGTGTATTATAACTTAGCGCTAACTATTTTCTTATCCTAAAACTGTTTGTAGCTATAAAATATAAAAGGAAAGAAATTAAAATTGTCAATTATTATTTTTGAAAGTTGTTTGAATAATGTTTCCCATTAGATAGAATAACTTCTAAGTTTAAAAAAAAAAAAAACGTGATCCAACGTTGAAATGAAAAGTGATTTTGTTGAAGAAAAAAAATTACATTTGAAGAAATTTACATTTGAAACAAAATTATTTGTACCCTTTCGTTATTTTTTTGGCATTCAATTATGTCGTGCATTTCTTATGTATGTTTTTTTAAAATCTCGTTCAATGGATTTCTGTCAGAAACTGTTTTCTCTGTCCGTACTATTTTAACAAAACGGATTAACAATCTTACATAAAAAATAACTGACACTCGCGCAAATTATGTAAGTTATAGAGAAATGAAAACAAATGACATATTTTCCTGCGGCATCTAAAATGAATCTTAAACGTAATACAAAAGGAAATCATTAAAAAAATGTCGATATAACTTTATCCCGAATAGAATTTTTTTTACATGTAGTCAATTTGGTTGCTGCCACATATAGGTCAAAGGTACAATACTATGATTTTATATTATATTTTATAACCGTCGTTGAGCAGCCGACCCAATTTTTGGATTTATGACTTCTAATGTCCAATTCCATAGCCTTGTCATTTTGAACCCAATCCAGAAGACAAGGGAACTCTTGGATCAAGTAGTAGGAAACATTTTGCACTTTTTTGATGGAAACACTTTTGATAGGAAACACTTTTTTGATGGAACTAACCCGAATTTGAGTTACATGAAGAGGGAGACCACGAGAACCTCCCATGGTTAGCCTGACTCCAAGGAGACTCTAATCCATGATCCTTCTACCCCTGAGGATATTTCACGTCAGCACTGTGGTCGGTGTAAGCCGGATGCGTATTCGTATCGACCAGCCATCGCTGGATTCGAACCGGGTTCATCTCATTGGAAGGCGAACGCTCTATACCCTGAGCCATCGCGGCTCACAATATGATTGGTTCAGTATATGCGAAAAGCATGCACTTTTTTTATTGCTTTTGTTAGGCATAGCAAAAATAATTTCTCTCTATTAAAAAGTCGGCCGCTGCCGACATAACCTCTGTTTTTGATTTACCACTTTACTTTGCATTTTGTTTTGCTGTGCAAAAACTGTAAGACTTAGAAACTTAACATTACGAAGGTATATTAAAAATGTACTAGAAAAAAAAATCAGTAATTAGTTCGTGAACCGTTAAAGTTGTAGGTAAAAACACCATGCGGGCTGCTGTTCAAGCTGCGGGAAGGAAACCACAGAATTTGGCATGCTGAAAAGGACTTTTTCAATTATAAACAATTCAATTTCAATTCATTTTCAAACAATTCATTTTCAATTCATTCAAATTGAAATTATTTTCATCAAAGTTTTAATTCGTTCGAAAGTTATAGCAAAAACTCTCTCGAAGTCATCCTTTTATTATTTCGTCTTCATGTCAAAAGTAACGAAAACCGAAACATAAAATCAAAGAAATAAGAGAAAGCGATCAGATGTAAGTCATAACCATTTAAAAAACAATTTTCAAATCTATACATGTTTCAAAGAGAGAAGTTTTCATTTTGAACTGTCATACAACATAAGGTTATCGTTATAGATTGTTAACGAGTAAAATGACTTCAAATTTATGACTTCTTGTATTTTATATTTCTAAGTTAAGATGTTTAAGAAAAAAGAAGAGAAAAAAATGCACCTCTCTAAATAACTTTTGATCTCATGGTCGGATTACCATAAACTGAAATTTTATTTTAAATATGCTAATGAAATGAAACGGACCATGTTTTAAGTTACAAAATCAGACACAAAAACGTATTTTCTCTGAAAACATACCCTTTTTCCCGACGAATTTGAATTTCTTACTCCCAACAGTGGGGGCAGTCGCCATCTGAGAAATATGGTCACAGAAGGTAGATATTGAATCCCTTTGTGTTAAGTTTACTTTTTACGTATTTCGTCTTTTTTTCGAAAACGAAAGCGAATCGAACACTTTTTGCTCACAATTATGAAAATCGTTCCTCTAAAGATTGTTCTGCGCAAAAAACAATTAATTATATATATATATATATATTTACTATTTAATTTAATAATGAAAAAAATTGAATTTTAACATATACAAATGTTTTCCTCATTTTAAAGGAAAGAATTTAAATTTCTGAATTCAAAATTTAAAGGAAATCAGTCGAATAGTTTCTGAGTTATCAAATTTTTTTAAAAAAAAGTTGTATACTTACGTTTCTTCCCCCCCCCACATTTTGGAGGTGACAAATACAAATTCGCTGAAATTTTTTTTTAATGTTAATCCAGACGTTTTTGTGTCTGATTTCGTAACTTTAAATATTATCTCTCTCTCTTTCGCATGCCCGTTAAGGCAGAGGGGGTGCGATTGTTCTTGTTTTACAGTGGCGCCATTTATGCCCAAGAATTCGACTTCCGCCTCACCCATACGTCACACCCGTTTATAGGGCGAACCCATTCATTCATCCACAGATCGTAATTTTGACCTGAATCAGAGAACGATCCATCTCCAATTCAGTACCCCCAGAAGTATTAATTTGTTATGGGAACATGGAGGACTTTGCGACTCGACAGATTTAACGTGCATCAGTCACCATTTACATTAAATATCATCTGTTCTAATTAAACAGCATAGTAGTTATTTCAAACCTTTCAGATTGAGTACGTGATAATTCAATCAAAAGTTATTCCAAGGTACAAAACTCTCTTTCTTATAGAAGCTAATACAGGATATTGAACATAAATATTTGTTCTTTCAAATATAGGTAGCTGCTGTAGGATTAACGATATGTATGATATGCAGCCTGTGGTAAGAAGATGCGTTGTCTGCTAGCCAAAGTTTTTACCCCTGTGTGTGGAATCCTTTTAGAATTTGATCAAATAATATTTTGATAATTTTGTACAAATAATATTTTACGAACGTTGTATGCAATATTTTTTTATGTATATTTGTGTTATTTAGATAATAAACATTTTTATAATACACATTTTTATGACTCATTATAATACACACAATAAACATTTATATATATATACATAAGTATTTCTTTTCAAGCTTGATTTTACTAGAGCTTGAACATTTGTGTGGTATTTAGACAACATATATATTTATTTTTTCAATGGTTTAAAATGATATCACTACCCAGTTCTCCGAACGACCCTGGATAAAAATAGGGTGAAATTATAACGATGGTAAAAGACACACGAAAAATCCATATTTTGTGTCGAAGATTTGGTTTTTGCATTCATTGGTATAAATGCCTTTACTTAGCCTCAATTGATTTTAAACGTTTCATTTTATATCTGGTGATAAACTCTAGAGCTATTTGCAGCTTACGACTATCACTACTGAACATTTGATTTCGAACCAAACACAGAAGACAAGGAACCTCTTGGATCAAACAATGAAGCAAGCAAATCATCGTCTAAAGGAGCTGCATTACATGGTAGGGTTAGCTAGACGGCAAAGGGATTCTAACCCATGATTGGTCTACTAGTAAGGATTATTTCTTGATGATATTATGAGGATTTAAAAGTGGTCGGTACAAGCCATCCTGGGGATTCGAACGTGGGTCAACTCATTGGGAGAATCCCCTGGTACCACTGTGGCTCCCTAATTGATTTAATCTTTTTTACACGTTGAATGCCATGGGGGTCACCGGTCACCGGGGAAGCCAAGATTATTAGAAACATAGAATTCGAGTAAATTTTTAATGGTTTTAATTTTTGTATATTATTATTGATTATTGTTGCTAAAATAGTTTGCTGAAATTAATGCAATGTAGAACACACAAAAATCATTTTGGCCAGACGCGCAAGCCATGTAAAATTAGCGTGGTAAAATTAGCTTGATCTAAAACAACGTGTTAAGTAACTATTGATTATAGGCGCTGCTTTTATTTAAGTTGGTGATATTTTTCTCAATTTTCTTAGGATGCCTTAAATTTTATAGAAGAATTATATCAGGCGCTATTTTATTTTCATCAGTTCATTCTGGAAATCTGAGGGTAATTAACTTTCGTCAGATTTATTCCTCTTGAATACCGGCTGTGATATACAATTTCTGTTTGATCTAAAACACTTCAATAAATTCGACAACTGTTTTTAATAATTTTATTTTTAACCGCTTCTCTTACCAATTTTTTTTAAGCAAATGCAAAAAATCACCCTATTTTTTTCATTTCATTTCATTAATCAATACAAGGAACTAAAACAAAACATAATACACAAGTTCTAAGTTGACATTTGAATTTTTTTTATGTGTATAAAATATTTAATTTACTATTAGTTTACTATCCCGAGTTACACTGGGGCAAATGAAAAAAGTTAAATATTAGTCTTTGTATCATAGTTTTTGAAACAAGGGACAACACAAAATGATACAATGAAGGAATACGATGAAAGGAGAATCGCGTCTGCGTGATCAAGGGATTAATACCAGATACATAACTTTATCAACTTAAAGATTATTATTTTTTAGTTTTTAATCATACTTTATATACATTAGATACAATTATTGATGGAGGTCATTATTTGCAATTATCTATTTAGGTATCGTCAAAATCAACCAGCAACAAAGCATGGTATGATTAAAAACTTTAAACAGTGCCGTGGTACGAGGGTTGCTATTTATATTTCTGGCCTAATATTAAAAAAACAAATATGTAGGATCGAAATTTCATGACGATCTTGCTTTATCAGTTCACGAACAGCATCGATCTTTTCTGGCACAACAACGGATTTTGGACAATCTGTACGGGATTCGTCCTGGATCGAACATCGACCATGATTAAATTCGTTATACCAATTTTGTGCTGTAGGATGGCGCTTTATCACTGAATGAAGAATTAAGTTCATCGAAGCACTCGTGTCTTGACAATCCACGTCGAAAGTTATGAAAAATAATGGCACGAAAATGTTCACGATTCAATTCCATTTTTTGAAAGAGAAGAACTTTTCAATTTACAGTCAACAACACAAATGAAGCTATAATGGTAAATCGTCTGCTGAATTTATGTTTAAAAATATCATACTTTCGATTAAAATCGTCTGCGGTCGCCTAGCAACACTTACTGTTGCCAAGGCCAGAAATATAGATAGCAACCCTCGTATTGTACATTTGTTTCAAATGACAATATCGCCAAGTATGAATTATGTTTATTTCATACTTTTAATGAATACGATTATGATGGATTAGTATTCATTAAAAGTATACTCTCGTAGCAACAGGTTCACATTTTATTTATTTATTTCCATAAGAAAGGCGCACTTTTTTTAATAATTGTAAGACACACTTTTTTAATAATTAGTAATAAAACTTGGCGAATATGTGGAATACGCGGAATATGTGTAATGGCGAATATTGGAATACAGGATAAGTGTGTATTCTATAAACTGATGTACTTATTATATAAAAGATTATTGTCCGGTATTCCTTACACTCATGATTATTTTTTTGGAAGTTTAAGGACCGTTTCCCAGCATGCAATATCATTGCTAATAAACAGATAGGCCGGTTAAATTAAAACTTGTGATTCAAAAAAAAAATTTGATTTATCGAATAAAGAAAATGTTATTTTTTTTATGATCGTCAACTCAGATATATTTAATTTTATACAATGTCTTTGTCGAGTATATAATGACTCTATACACTCCCTGACCAACCTATGAGATGCACATAAAGATTCTATGTAAAATATCAATTATCAGGTGATGCTATACAGCTTTATTCTTTTTACGCAAATGAAACCAGTTTGCACTTGTTTACGTTAGGGACTCAATGGGTTAAATGAGACGATATATAATATAAATTTAACGATTGGATAAATTAGACGATATAACTATAGAATATTTGTTATATCAGGTGTTATATTAGGGGAGAGTGGGGTCAATTGTAACAGGGTACGATTGTAACAAAGCAAACATTTCGAGTGTCGGGTTCTAGATTTGGTTCCTAGGTGGCGCACAAGGTGTATTTAATAAATCTACATGTACATCCCTGCTGGCAACCATTTTTATGTACTTTTGAAAGAGTTACATCACAAAAGATATTTTCACNTGTTAACCCATTGATACAGGAGAGTAAACAAGTGCAAATCGGTTTCAGCCACGTAAAAACAATACAGTATCGTATGATGATTAAGATTTTACATAGAATCTTGTATGTGCGTCTAATAATATAGGCCAAGGACTGTAGAGTGCTGATCCTACAAAAATAATACCAGCAACACTTGAAATTTTCATATACGTAGATTAGAAATAATACATACTAAAAAAGGTAACAAAGTTGCAACTGCAATATAACTTTGAAGACTGATTAAAAGCCAAATGTTTAAAAATACTTTTTTATTTTATATTTTTAACTTATCATAGCAACTGTCTTTTAAGATTTGAGTTCTTATCTCTGAAAGATCTTTTCAGAAATATCGAATTACGAAGTCAACGAACGATAAATCAGATTTTTAATGAATCGGTGTACTGTTTAAGATTATAAAGTGAATCATTACTTCATTTATATGTACGCTAAATATTTTTGTTATTCGATTAAGATTAGAAGTAGAATTTTTTAATTTGTTGCCATAATAACAATAGAGGTTTTAAAGCACTATAGTTAGCTGGGAAAAAAAAGGATATTTGGGGGATTTCTTTCAACGGGGCGATGGAATAAATCAGAATTCTGAAAAGTTTGCTTGATTATGCAACTAGTGAAATAAAAATTAAGATATTTTCTTCAAATCGTTTTAAAACACTATTCAAAAGTGGAATAAACCGGAATTCTGAAAAAGGGTTCTTAATTCTACAACTGCTAGTAAAATTTAGTTTTTTTTTTCTTATCTTAATTTAATCGGATTTTAATTTTATGCAACTACTAGTAGGTTTGTCGTATTTTACTTGCGGTAGTAAAACTTGCTGATTGCAAAGTTTTTAAACTCAAAATCGTTATTTTCTACATAATATTTAAAAAACCCCACAGCGGACTGATCATAAGACACGGTTCTAAGTCAAGCATCTCTGACCGCTTCGATCAGCCAGCTGAGAGAGCGAGGGCACTCGGTATGGGTGCTCGTTAAACTGTTCTTACGTAAAGTGCTTGACTTCATGCTCAGGTTGTAGTGCTGCCAAAGCAGGGGAGCCATTTTCTATCCAGAAGATCAAAATTGCGATGACATGTTTTCGGATCATCCTCCGGGATGTTTCCTGGAAGCCAACAGTCCATTGTGCAGCTCTACTGCGGCGTAAATGAGCAACAGCTACAACACTTATGGCCGAGCTGTATTGCCCACCAAGCAAAGCGTGGTAGTAGCGACTTTGAATGCCGCTGTTATCCTATGGATATGTCCTTGTGCTATCTTTCTCTGTAATGTGCTGTCTGTCCTTCAATATGACAAAGGTTTATAAGCCTTAATTGAGCACACAAGCCTGCACATGCATGTTGTACCCATACATAACTTAAGAACAAACTTCTCTATATTTTGCTTGAATTATAAGCTTATTGTTTATGCAGACAACATAATCTAGAACTATTGTTTTAATTTTTTTTTAGTTAAGTGTTACATAAAGGACTGTTGCTTTTATAAAACAATTAAGTATGTAATTGCGAAAGCAAGGAAATTCTATAAATGTTTTGTTAAAAATGCAATTTTCAAGTAGCACTAAAATGTATGTAAACCAGTTCTTTATTTATACATATAAATTGAATGAAATATTTACATGTCAAAGTCTATAGCAGATTGCATATGTTTCATACTTCCAGATTTTCAAAATTGTGCTAGTTTATATATCAATTTAGACAAAAATGATTAAGTATGAAATGTGCGAGCGTAATGATTTCGAATTGAGAAGAAATCCTGAAGGGACTACGAATGCCATTCTGGGGATTAGTGAGCTATGCCCCCTAGTTTCAAGCATTTCAGTAGGTTCTCTAAGTTTTAAAAACAATCATAAAACTATGATGTAAGCCATTGAGGATGCATTGCGTCCATACAAA